GAGGCACCTCCCCTTATCTGCGCTGGTCGCCGGGGTGCTGACGCGGTGTGAACCCGGGCCGGCCGGGGCGCGGGAGGTCTATGCGAGCCCGAGTTCCCGGTGCGGGCCCAGCCGCCGGTTCCTGGCGTGCTCGCGGAGCACGTTTGCGCCGCAACGCGCACGCACCCGGGGAATGTTTACATCCCAGCACACACCCTCCTCCTCAGTCTCCCGGTGAAAGACCAAGGTTCTAGGAAAGCACCCATTCGTCAAGAACACGTGGTAGGAAATGTCTGCTTGGGATTCATTTAAGGTTAAAAGATCATCTAGTCTCTTTAGAACAAAAACATTCTGAATTGCGGTTTCAGTGGGACTTTTTAAAAGCGGGTTCACTTGAAGTTACTTTGATGATCTCGACAAACGTGCCCCTATTGATATCTTGCAAAAAAGTGTTTCAAAAAAACCCAGAAATCTTTGCTTTTGCCGTCCTCGAAAGAGCACAGAGGTTCCTCAGTTCTTTTTTTGGTTTGGTTTGTTCTAGTGAAAGGCCAATAATTAAGTAGTGACAAACCAGTATGTTCCTAGAGTCCTTAAAAAAATTTTTTTTGAGATCCCTGGAGTCCAACTCTGCAATTCTGTTTCACGTTGAACTGCAGCCTAATGTAAACTATATTTTATGCATAACCCTAAAATGTTAGAACCTGTTGCTGAGAATTAGGAGACCGCAACATCAACGCTAAGCCGTACTCCCTGACTAGTCAAAGTTGTACCGGAGTATTGTCCTTTCCTCGCTGCCTGCATACTTCACTTGATGTTATTTTGTAATTGCCTCTTGTTTCTAGCACAATGTACATATTTCTCTCCCTGAGTACTTTAGATTGTAAATTCTTTTGAATCTCGAACTATGCCCAGCACTAAATTCAGAAAAGAGTTGATGAATTAATCTCTGATGAAATCCACCTGTTATGCAAGTGGGAGGAAATTTGGGTGGTAAAATATCTGATAGAGAAAGCTCTAATCCAATGATTAGGTGTGTCAGTAAAATAAGAAAATGAACAAACGGCTTGACTGCAATCTGTGAGAACACAGAATTCAAGGAAAAAACTGGAAGTTTTGAAAACAGATTTGGTAACACTGAAGACCAAATCCTGCACACAAATCTGGGTAGCTTCCGTGTTTGAGTTGGCCATAGAAATCATGACTTTTAAATTAATAATGGTATGTTCTGTCTTCAGAAAACTGGTCATGTAATGTGTTCAGCCCTTGACTCACAGCAGTTCTACCTTTTCTTAAGTCTTTTAGGAATCATCAAAACAATGATAAACAAACAAAAAAAATGATAAACATAATCCATTATTTAGTGATTGTCAAAAATATTTCTTTTGCAGGTTGAACATTAAGGTAAAGTAAAAGCAACTGGGAAGATTATATACCAAAAGAGAGAATCTTATTCATTTGAAGTGACCTCCTCCCTAATCTAAGTCAGAACAAGGAAGTGTATTAAATGATTCCAAAATATCATGAATGCGGCTGGCCAGGGTGGCTCAGTGGTTGAGCATCGACGTGTGAACTAGATCACAGTTCGATTCCCAGTCAAGGCATATGCCCGGGTTTGGTGCTCGATTCCCAGTAGAGGATGTGCAGGAGGCAGCTGATCAATGACTCTTATCATTGATGGTTTCTCTCTCTCTCTCTCTCTCCCCCCCCCTGAAATCAATAAAGATATATTAAAAGAGAGAGAGAGATGAGAGAGAAACATCAGTCTGCTGCTGCTTGCAGCCCCCTACTGGGGATCAGCCAGAAACCCAGGCTTGTGCCCTGACCAGGAATTGAACCATGGTTTCCTGATGGGTGGGACGATCCTCAATCAACTGAGACACATCGGCTGGGCCATTTCTTAGTCCTTAATGCCAACAACAAAAAACGTAGTTCTCAGTATTACATTTTCTTTCAAAGCAAAATCTTGTAAATCCAAAGTAGAAGAAATAAGGGTATTGTTTAGGGCATTTCAAGTTTGAAATGAATGTGTTGATTTATTTTTTAAGCACCTCGAAATAAAGACTTGTATATTCATCTTTTATCTTTTACTCCCTTAGGTTTGAGCGTCTTTAATTAAACTAGAAATATAATTTTAGAAAAAAAAAAAGATTTAGTATCTATTTTTGCAACATACTCCAAAGAGCAACTGAAACAACCACAATTCTTCAATGTATCTTCAAAATTTTCCACACTGGCCAGTTTTCTCAGTGGTTGGCGCACAGGCCCTCAGACTGAAGGGTCTCTGGTTCAATTCCAGTCAAGAGCAGGTACCTCAGGTGTGTGAGGGCGGCAACCACTCTACTCTGCCTCTCCCCCTCCCTTTCACTCTCTCTATAAAATCAATGGAAAAAGTATCACTGAGTGAGGATTAACAACAACAAAAATTAGACACTTTTCCTTAATGGTATATTTCAAATGCATGATCACAGTTCATTGTTTTAACTATTAGTCTTCTAACCTTGTTCAGAAAACTGTGAAGTCATTGACATATCTTTTAAGAACTTTGTAAAGCTAATAAGTTTTTTTCTGACTCCTTACCCCAAAGGTTAAATTAAATATAAGCTCCTTATTTGCTACCATACCCCCAGGACATAGAACAGTAGCTAGAACGAGGTAGGCACTCATTAAATATTTCTTGTTGAATGAGTAAGATGTCTTTGTATTTTAAGTGTCTGTAAAATCCATGCAACATGAGAATAATTAGGCAGATAGCATCATGACTTTTAGAAAAGATAACCTTGTCCAAACTCCAACTTGATTATCGTTGGAAGGGGTAAATGATTTCTAACCTTTATTCTTAAGTTCAGATAAACTCTACTCATTCAAGTGCGTTAAAAGAACCTCTCTCACTCTTGCTATTGTACTTAAAAACTGCTTGCATGCTGTTAGAGGAAAATGTATAGTTCTTGTTCAACTTTGTACTTTCTCTTTATTCCATGTAATCTCTGTTTCCACATAATGTCATAATAGTAGTCCTTTGAGCAGACCAGTGGCCAATAAATTTTGTTGTATGAAATGAAACTTTTCTCATGATGTGCTTTTAAGTGGGCCAAGACTGGAAAACCTGTGAATCTGTAAGTAAAATAACAATCATTTCCCCAAATAGCAAAGTGGACTGTGGGGGTTGGATGAGGGAGTGTAAATAGGAGTGAAGAACAAACCCAGTTACTTCAAAGTGTAAATATTATTCGTCGTCACCGTAGTAACAAACGTTCCAACGTGAACAATCCATTTCGAATGACAGAACAGCTCAGTTTAGTCTCATTTGTTGTACTGATATCCATATCACAAGATGCCCTTACAGATCTCTGGAAAGAGCGCCACTGCAGGTAATAATTTTTTATAGAAATTGGTTTGGCCCGAAATATCACCCGATTACGTATAGTAATTTTTAAAATTTCCAAAGGTCTTGTAACAACATTGTTGGGTCGCGAACACCCCGAATCTCAATACTAGGACCGCGCCCGTTTGTACTGCAATGTAATTATTTTATGTCTACATGGTGTGCCCTGCGCATATAGTAACAGGGAGACTCGGAGTTAAGGTGAAACCCTCTGAATTAATAAAAGGGGAGGAAAAGCGGAGCGCCGCCCTGGCACGGAGGTGGTAGAGACGTCACGAGGCTGAGGGGTCAAGCTTTTACAGGGCTAGAGATAACAAGACAACCCGCCCACCTTGGGGAAGGCAGGGCGCAGACGGCACGGGAGTGGGGCGCGGGGACGGCGGCGCTGGGCGATCGCGGCCGGGAAGGACGCGCCGCGCGCAGGCGGGAGCTCCGCGGACAAAGGTGGAGAGTGGCCACGCCCACAAGGCGGAATCTCTGACGAAAAGGGCGGGCCTGTGTGCGGGCCCGTCGTCCAGGCAACGGGATCGTCTGTGCGGAGGCTTTTAAGCAAGCCCCAAATCCGGCAGTTTGGGGTGCGGAGAGGAGTCACTGGGGAGGGGAGGGGCCGAGACGGCACAGGGAGAGACCCAGGATCCCGGCGACAAGACGCCTGGCCAGCTTAGGTTTAGGGGGCCTTTCGAAGTGAGGGAGCGGAGTTAGAGGTCAGGTTGCAGAGCACAAGCGGGAAGGGGTCGGGGTCGCCCGCCCGCTGCAGGGGCTCGGGCAGGAAGCAGCTCCCCTCGCGGGCCCCTTTGTCTCCAGGCCGATACGCGTTCGTCTCCGGCTGGCGACACAAAGAGAGGGTGGTGAGGACCGCGCAGGCGCGCGAGCCGCCGAGATTGCTGGGAGTGGTGGTCCGGCCACCAAATGGTAGGTGTCCCGCGCGAGCCAGCGTCTCCCCTGGCCTTACAAGTGCGCTCGAGCCACCACTTCCGCCCTGCTCGGCCCGCCCTCTGTCTCCCGCCCTCTGTCTCCACCCCTCCACGGGACGCGGGTTTCTAGTACTGTATAGTAGTTAAGAGCCTGGAGGAGTTATCCGACCTCGTCCCGCCTTCTCTTCTAGTTGATTGGGCCACTGAAATGAAGGCGGCAGTGGACTGGCTCACGGAGTTGCCAGTCTGTTCTGAGACGTACTTATACCCTCACTGTGCGGTGGGCACGGACGATTGAGGGGCTGAGTGGGAAGACGGGGGAGGTTCCCTGGGTGTAGGATGGTCTCGAGGCGGCGGTCCCGCGGCAGGGTCGGTTCCGTCTGGGTCTGGGCGGGACTGGCTGCCACCCCGCGTCACCCGCGGGGCATGCAGCGGCGCCAGACAGGCTGTGCCTCCAAGTACGAAACTCATAGTAAAGTTTACGCCTCGCCAGCGGCCCCTTGTCCCCGCGACCCCCGCCCCAGCAAAGGTGACAGACAAAGCCACACCCCCACGCGGCGGG